TCGGTGAATCCTGTTATGCTAAGTACTGTTATGTCGGAAAGAATTTCGTCCAATGCGTAGAGAATATCATGGGGAGAAATAATACAGGTTCAAACCTCTCGAAATTAGTTAAAATTGACATCGCATTTCATTAGCGGATTGGAAAGATAATAAAAGAAGGTGTTTGTGGTAGAATAAATAATAAATGATATTGGATGAGGTCTCATGAAGCACGGCATCCGCTAGCCGTCAATAACATGGCATCCACCTCGAAAGAACACGTTCCAAACACGTCCTATCTATTACACGTTTCACGCACCTTTGAATCCCAATTTAAGAAGAAATTCCTGACAATCTACGGCACAACTGAATATAAAATACGAGAAGAAGAGATGCGATGGTGCGGCCCCTACTGGTACGTGTTCACGTTGTCGCACAGTCGTAAGGAATGACGGGCAACCCGGCTGATGGACTGGCTGGATCGGCGATTTGCATTGAAACACTTTAATTAGGTAAATATTGTTTTGCATGCAAATTCACTGTAAAATGAAGCAATGGACATATAAGATATGCATATGAACAATAAAAATTGTTTTAGTTGAGCAGATATTCAGACAACGGTTTTCGCCAAAATCTATCAAATTAATTTGAACTATAAGCTTACTTTAACAACTTTTTTTGGGAATCAGATTTTATCAATTTATGCAATCAACGAATTTATGTATAATGGTTTTAGAATTAAGGGGAGCGTCTGGGTCAAAATTTATATCGGTTATTTACGGACGGATCGCTCTGAAACTTGGTACACTTATGTAAAAGCGAAAAAAATTAGCCTTTTGCTTATGTGAATTATTCGAAAAATTAAAGAAAACGTGGAATTGTTAGAAAACGGGCAAAAAAGGGGGTGTTGTAGAAATAGAAATGGTCCTAGGATTATCAAGCTGCCACATCGAGACACATATCATTCGATGCATAAAATCTTTATCTACCAAAAGTTTTTTTCTTTTTTTTAAATTTCAATTTTTGTGGAAGTGGGGGCATTTTTCCTAAATTTTCGGAAATTTTACGATTTTTCCCCTGCCACCCCCCACTTTTTGCGGAATAAAATTCAAACTATAATGAAATTAGAAAAACCGAGAAAAAAGTTTTATAGATCTTTTATTTGCAAATCGAATGATATATGTCTCATTGTTGTAGCTTCAAAACTCTAGGAGGAGATAGGTTTGCCGTGACAATAAGTTAAACTGTTCAGTAGAGCCCGACAAAGTCCCGGGCGCCTCGAAATAGGCGTTGAAGGTGGCAAGAATGCAAGACTAGGTGATCCTGGAGCTCAATTTCTGTCAAGGATGGTGTGAACGACGGCAAGCAAACCATCCCAGTTGACTGCAGGCGGATAACTGAAGCACATAGTGTTTGGACTAGCTATTTAAGTGTTCTACCGGGAATTTCCGCCTATCTTAAATGTGAAAGAACTCCACCACTCCCCACCCTTTTGCGATCTGTCGTGAACGCATAAATCAATGTACAGAGATGGTTTTGGTACCGTTGGATAGGTCAGAATGTCAGCTATAAGATGAGACTAAAAACCGGAAAAGCCAAAATTCTAAAATTTTGGCCAGACGCTCCCTTTACAATTTATTTAGACGGAGAATAAAAGGATTTGAAGTTACCCCGAGTTACCCTGAAGCTGAAAAGCACCTCGAAACGCACATTTTATTTTATACATGGAGAAATGTAACTTCTAAAAATAAGTTGAACACATTAAAATGTTTACAGCACGTAGGCAGTTTTACACGAAATTTCAATATGTTTTGTGATTTACCACTAAAGATATGACGCAAAACTGTAACTAAGGGCGATTGAAAAAAAACTGTTACTAAATACTTTTTTCCGAAACAAATCTTATATAAATCAGAGAATACATATGAAATCAGAGAATACATATGAAAAAGTTTTAGAATTTTCGTAAGTCGTTCAGCAAAGATATTGACAGTAGAGTATAAACTTCTTCCAATGAAATTCATTTTTAAAAATGAAATATGTAACAATTTTTTTGGGACATATTATATCAAAATATTCGTCGAGACTCAAAGAACACAGAAAAAAATAATTTAAATCAAATCGAGAGCCTTAAACCAAAGATACGAGTATAAGCGCGAAAATGTGATTTTTACGAAATACTCGTTAGAGTACCTTTTTTATATCGGAAAAATATATTAAAACTCGTTGAATCGAGACAAACGATGTACCAAAATTTGTGCAAACTTCTTGGAGTTATAATGATGAAGGTTTGAACAAAATTGGTCTCTTCGTTTTTGAGATATGCGCTCGAGAGTAAAATTTTCACCTCGCCAAGCACCCGATAATTGTGTGGGTATTCTAATGACGGTGCCAAAGAAAAAATTCATAAAAGCGCGGATCTGCAGCTTGCGCCCCGATCCGTTCGTGATATTTGGCAAAAAATATGAGTGTTATGTTGATGCTAAATGCTAGAACATGTCCACGCGACAACATTTCTTCTCGCTTCGAATCACTGACATGTGGTACAGCCTCCCTGATTACATCGTTGGCGCTCCGAGTATGGACGCGTTCAAGAACAGACTAGATAAAGCTATGGAAAAATATATGTTCAGATTTGAAATGCCTAGCACCATATCGAACCCGGTGGAAGTCTAGTAGCTATTTCAAACTGTCGTCAGTCTTGAAAATATCTGGTCAAATGACAAGATTTAGATCTTCTATGAACAAGTCTCGAAAAGGTCAAGATTCGGCGACAGGCCACATCAGGCCTACTCTTAACCGCCGACATCACTACGATATGTTATGTTTGTTAAATATTTATTTGAACACGAAGATATTTCACAGAGCTACCAGGCTGACAACAGGACGGAAGCTCAGTTTAGACCAGAATTCATCACAAACGTCCATAACGCATTACTCATTTGTTACTCTTTGCTCACTGCTCAGTTGTTTCCTCTGTCACTCTTTCCTGTGACAATGGGCGGATTCCAAGTAATATGCTGTCTTATTCAATTAATTTTTTTCTAGGTTCGTCTTTTTTCGCATTTATTGTGGTCACATTTAGTCAAATTTGGTCATTGAAATTTTTCGTATTGTTCAATAAAATCACACATCTTAATACATTTATAAGAAATATGGTAACAGAGCACATACTTTTATTATACATTTATCCCATTTTATTACCTGGATCAAATTTGATACTGAAACATAGAAAGATTTAACCCCAAATAACATTTATTCATAAAACTAGTGAAAGTGATATATTATTCCGCTTTTGATCATGTATGGCATATATATAGCGGTTTCAGCGTTTATTAGGCCGTAGGCCTGTCGCAGATTCTTTACATTGCAGAACAGTTACAGCATGTTGCGGGCCTGAACTCGCAACTCGCTGCTTCAAAATTTCTTTGCTTCACCGCCCGGCCTCCTTGCCAATTCTGACCAGAATCTGGCGCATAGAGCTGGGATCAAACCTGCAACTCTGCTCCAATCTTTGTGCTCTGAACTTTAACCACTGGGCCACCCTGCCCATTCATACACATCTAACTATACAACGATGACGTACTGAGAGAGTTAATTGCCAAGTTGTATGACATTCAGAAACGCGTTAGCATGATTTAACATAATTTAAATCTGGAACAATTATTCTAGCTGAAAGTCAACCATAAAAAATAACATCATGTCGCTCTTAATTAAAAGTTGATAATTAAATAGTTTTTCCAATGCATATATATATATATATAATACAATGGGGAAAATAAATATTTAGTCAGTCACCAATTGTGCAAATTCTTCCACTTAAATAATGAGAGAGGCCTGTAATTGACATCATACGTAGACCTCAACTATGAGAGACAAAATATGTAAAAATCATTTTGATGGACTTTTAAAAAATTTATTTGCAAATAGTGGTGCAAAATAAGTATTTGGTCAATAACAAAAGTTCAATACATTGTTGTACATCTTTTGTTGACAATGACAGTGGTCAAACGTTTTTGGTACGTCTTTACAAGGTTGGTACACAAATTGCTGGTATTTTGGCCCATTCCTCCATGCAGATCTTCTCTAGAGCAGTGATGTTTGGGGGCTGTCTGCAGGCAACACGGACTTTCAACTCCCTCCAAAGGTTTTCGATAGGGTTGGGATCGGGAGTCTGGCTAGGTCACTCCAGGACTTTGAAATGTTTCTTACGAAGTCACTCCTGTGTTGCCTTGGCAATGGACTTGGGATCACTGTCATTCTGAAAGACCCAACCACGTTTCATCTCCATTGCCCATGCTGACAGAAGGAGGTTTGTACTCAAAATCTCACGATACATGGCCCCATTCATTCTTTTATGTACACGGACCAGCCGTCCTGGTCCTTCTGCAGTGAAAGAGCCCCAAAGCATGATGTTGCCACCCCCATGCTTCGCAGTTGGTATGGTGTTCTTTGGATGCAATTCCATCCACATTCACTTCCCTCCAAACACGACGAGCTGTATTTTTCCAAATAGTTCTACTTTGACTTCATCTGACTATATGCCATTCTCCCAATACTCTTCTGGAACATCCAAATGCTCTCCAGCAAACTTCAGACCTGCCTGATGTGGAGTGGCTTAAGAGGGGGACACGTCTGGCACTGCAAGATCTTAGTCCCTGGCGTCGTAGTGTGTTGCTGATTGTAGCGTTTGCAACGTTGGTCCCAGCTTTCTGCAGGTCATTCATTAGATCCCCCATTGTGGTTTTGGGATTTTTCCTCGCAGTTCTTGTGATCGTTTTGACCCCGCGGGCTGAGATCTTGTGTGGAGCCCCAGACCGAGGGAGATTAGTAGTGGTCTAGTAGGTCTTCCATTTTCTGATTATTGCTCCTACAGTAGATATATTTACACCAAGCTGTTTGCCGATTGCAGATTCGGTCTTCCCAGCCTGGTGCAAGTCTACAATTCGGTTTCTGGTGTCATCCGACAGCTCTTTCGTCTTCACCATAGTGGAGTTTCGAGTGTGACGGTTAAAGGTTGTGGGCAGGTGTCTTTTATATCGTTAACGACTTCAAACAGGCCCCATTAATACAGGTAACGAGTGGGGGAAAGTGAAGTCTCTTAAAAAAAGTTACAGGTCTGTGACAGCCAGAAATCTTGCTTCAATGTTATTGAACAAATACTTATTTTCCACCATTATTTGTAAATAAATTCATTTTAAGTCCCACAAAATTGTTTTCTATCCTTTTTTAACAGTTGGTTTCTCACAAAAGAGGTCTACCTATGACGTCAATTACAGGCCTCTCTCATCTTTTTAAGTGAGAGAACCGGCACAATTGGTGACTGAAATTTATTTTCCCACTGTATATATAAAAATGTTAGGTCTTCTATTGCGTACGTGGTAATCGTACGAAAAATCATCTGAAGGTAATTTGAGATGGAAAATATCGTCCAATGGCCACCAGAATAATTGTCTGTTCATCAAAAGTCGAATTTGCGTTTTATCTATTATTGGCTGGTGGAGAGAGAATGTAACTGTCATTCAGCGTACGTTGATATCGATGGTAAAACCTATTTCAATACCTTTAAATGTCTAGATTGTATTTTAAAGTTGTGACTGCATTCAAAATTGAGGTGCACTTTTGTGAAATGTTCTTGAAATTAATTTGTAACGAGTGAACCATAGAGTATGAACTGCACTTGAAATGAATAAAATGTTTTCATTCTGCAGAATCCAAGATGGTGAAAATACCAGCAGTTGGTATTGACCTAGGCACGACCTACTCGTGCGTGGCTGTGTTCCAGCGTGGCAAAGTCGAGATCATCGCCAACGATCAGGGCAACCGCACAACTCCTTCGTACGTCGCCTTCACCGACACTGAGCGTCTGATAGGTGATGCTGCCAAGAACCAAGTCGCCCTCAATCCTGTTAACACGATTTTTGACGCAAAACGACTAATTGGGAGAAAGTTTGATGACCCAACAGTTGCTGGTGACATGAAACACTGGCCCTTCAAAGTAATCAATCACAGCGACAAGCCAAAATTGCAGGTCGAATTCAAAAGGGAGATGAAAACATTTTCTCCCGAAGAAATTTCTTCTATGGTGTTAACTAAGATGAAAGAAATCGCAGAAGCCTACCTGGGAGGTGATGTAAAAGATGCTGTCATTTCCGTGCCTGCTTACTTCAACGACTCTCAACGCCAAGCAACTAAGGATGCTGGCGCCATTGCTGGCCTCAACGTCCTCAGGATTATCAACGAGCCAGCAGCTGCAGCCATTGCCTACGGCCTCGACAAAAAGGGAACCGGAGCTGGTGAGCGCAACATCCTCATCTTCGATTTGGGCGGTGGAACCGTCGGCGTTTCCATTCTGTCCATCGACGACGGCATTTTTGAAGTAAAAGCCACTGCTGGAGATAATCACCTTGGAGGAGAAGATTTTGACAATCGTATTGTCAATCACTTTGTTCAAGAATTCAAGAGGAAATACAAGAGAGATATCGAAGATAATAAGCGAGCTTTGCAACGACTGAGAACTGCGTGTGAGCGAGCCAAGAGGACTCTCTCCTCATCTGCACAAGCCAGCATCGAGCTTGATTCGCTTTACGAAGGCATCAACTTCTACACTTCAATTACCCGCGCTCGGTTTGAAGAATTGTGCGCTGACCTCTTCAGAGGAACCCTGGATCTCGTGGAGAAGTCGCTTCGAGACGCCAAAATGGAACAAGGACATATCCACGAGATAGTATTGGTTGGAAGTTCAACTCGTATCCCTAAAATTCAAAAGCTGTTGCAGGACTTCTTCTATGGCAAGGAGTTGAACAAATCAATAAACCCTGACGAAGCTGTTGCCTATGGTGCTGCAGTTCTGGCTGCCATTCTATCTGGTGACAAATCTGAAGCCGTTAAAGATGTACTCCTCCTCGATGTCGCCCCTCTATCAATGGGCATTGAGACCGCTGGTGGTGTTATGACTGCCCTCATCAAGCGGAACACTATCATCCCCAGTATACGCTCCCAGATCTTTACTACCTATTCGGACAATCAGCCCGGTGTGCTCATCCAGGTTTACGAAGGAGAGCGCGCTATGACAAAGGATAACAACCTCCTCGGCATGTTCGAGCTCATAGACATCCCTCCCGCCCCTCGGGGCGTGCCTCAGATTGAGGTCTCCTTCGACATCAACGTCAATGGCATCTTGAACGTGTCTGCCGTCGACATGTCCACCGGCAAGAAGATCAAGATAACCATCGCCAACGACAAAAGTCGCCTTAGCAAGGAGGAGATCGAGAAGATGGTACAAGATGCCGAAAAATACAAGGAAGAGGATGAGAAGCAAAAGGAGAAGATTGCTGCCAAGAACAGTCTTGAGTCATACTGCTTCAACATGAAATCTACCCTCGAAGATGATAAACTCAAAGACAAGGTGCCAGAAGAGGAGCTCAAAAAGGCTTTAGGTGCTTGCAGTAAAGCCATCACGTGGCTGGATGCTAATCAGCACGCAGAGAAGAAAGAGTTTGAGAATACACAGAAACAGGTTGAGAATATTTGTTCTTATGTAATTAGCAAGCTCTACAGAGGTGCAAGTGCAATGCCCGGTGGTATGCCAGGAGCAGCATTTGGTGCCGGTGGTCCATTGAAAGAAAGGGTTGATTAATAAGTGACTTTTATGTCATTCGTTGCACCTTTACTGTTAGTAGAACCTTTTTATTACAACACTTCTCTTTAACTTCACTTCTTGTTTGTCTGTTTGTTTGTCTGTCTGTCTGCTACAAATCTTGTAATCGAAATTTAACACACTTCTACTTATCCTATCGATCTGAAATTTTGCATACTTGTTTAAAGTTGGAGACAATGCATGAATCAAATGTCAGAATAAATTATTTTAAAAAGTAAAAAAAAAATTTTCAATATTAAAAAAATTGAAAAAAGTAATTTTGTCAGCTACAAATCTTATGACTGATATTTGACACACTTTTACCTGTCTAATTGATCTGAAATTTTGCACACTTGTGTGAAGTCAGAGGCAATGCATGAATCAATTAATAGAAAAAATAATTTTGAAAAAAAAATTTATATATTAAAAAAATTCAAAAATTAATTTTTTAATATTCGAAAATTAAATGAGAAATTCATGGTAACTCTTTAAGATTGGAAACACTGGATTCTTTGGAGTGTTGTCTTTAAAAGGTAATTTTTAAACATATATTATTTTCTGAGAAAAAGAGCTTATTTCACTGTTTTATTATTAGAGTTAATTATCATATGTAATGAACACGTAGGACACACGAGATTTATTTCTAAAGTGTACCTCTAAAAGTTATTTATACTAATATACTAGTCGTGAAAATCTGTGCGAGCGTTTATTTTCTTTACCTTGTTCTGGATTTTCGTTTTGAGGTTTAGTTTTAATTTCTTATGCGATTCCTAAGTTAATAAATTTATATCAGTAATTTGTTTATTATTATGAACTTCCCAAATTCATTCATATTTTTTAGTAATTTCTGCAGGGGTAAAAGATTGCCAATGGTAAATTTCAACCATACTCATGATTCTTCAAATTTTCAAGTAATAGTGATATTACATTCTTTACATCCAACTCGGGTTATGTCAGGAATCATTTCAAATTAGTCCTGGCTAATTATTTATTTAAGCTATAAAATCATAGATAAATTAGATAAGCGATGCTGAAAGACGATGGGCGACGAGACGATCTGCTTTTTCTGAAAGGAAGGGAAAAATAATAATATTCTTTACAATATTTCACGCCCAAGCTAGGGATATTAAACTATCTAGTGAGCGCACCACGGCAGTATGGAAATTAATATTTAAAATTCATGCAAATATTTGTTTATTGCTCATTATTTCGTCAAGTTCTTCGTCGTCTACGATTAGAATTGCAGTTACCAAAAAACGATGGTGAACGGCCGGAGGCCTGATGATCAATGAAAAACCTGCAGGACCTCATGGTATTAACGGAGCATGGAAAAGCTGAGCCTCGTGACACTTCCAACTAAATGCTGGGAATGGTTTATGTGTGAGAGTTTTAACTCAACACTGGGAATGCTTTAAGTATGACAGTTTCGACTCAACAACGGGAATAGTTAGTGTGAGAGTTTCGACTCAACACTGGGAATGGTTTAAATGTGACAGTTTCAACTCAACACTGGGAAAAGTTTTTGTTCAAACACTTGTTCAAAGTTTTTGTTCTTCATTCGAGTGATGAATAGAAAGTACGGCTGTTTCGTATATGTTCAGTAGTAATTTAATGCATTAATGCGCGTCAATCTTTTTTCGTTCTGCTTTCTCATTGAAAACAGCTTCCGTATAAACGAATCATATATGAGGTTGAAAATTGCTTAACAAAATTAGTATTGCAGATGAGGTATGATTAGAAAATGTTTCGAACAAAGAACATGACAAGTAATCGGGTGTACGCAGTCAGATGAATTTTCACAATAACAACACACGAACTAATTTTTTGGGGATTTTGAATTTACTTTAATTTATCGAATTTACTTTATTTTTTATTTATTTATTGAATTTATTTTAACAAAGTTAGTGAAAAAATAGTATTTGAGAACTGAGAATTCAATTACGGCATACTGTATTTAATGGTCCTCATTATGATTAATGCAAAGATAGCTTGATTCACTGTTGGGGTTTTATAATGAAGACGTGTAACTTATAAATATTATGTTGACAACATTGCGACAGAAGAGCACGTAAAATTCCCTCTTTTTAGCGCAAGGAAAAACCTAAACGCTTTGAAACTAGTCGCTTAACATGTTTACCATAGTTTCGACGATACAATCTAATCCTCATGCAACATCATTGCTCATGACGCCATGAACTGCTGTTCATAGCTAATAATGACACGTATATTCTGTTTCATTATGTGCTTTGATTTTCGATTGGGTTGGTTCCTAGGATTTATAAATTGACGCTATAACCTTTAATTAGGTTAAACTTGCGAATACTGCAGGATAGGGGAAAATCAAAGTGTGACCGAGAGGTATGATAAAATTTCTTGCGTTTGATCGCCACACAATTTGTCGTTGGTTGATAAAGTAACGTGACTCATTATGCACTCTGGAACAAACTATAAATCGAATAAAAATAAAAAGGACTGAGGTTCACGTCAGTCATGAAAAACGGTTCATGATCGCATAATCATGACGAGAAAACACGTAGCCGATTCACCATGCCTCAAATGCCGCGCCAAACTTTCCCACGCTTTAGCTGTGGCCACGATCGAGCGTCTGTCACTCATAACACTTCAGTATGAGAGAAATTTACACGCAGCGTATGATACTCCGATGTACTAATTTACTTCGGACAGTACATGGACAACCTACGTCGCGTTCTGCAGATAGTTTCAAAGCCCGCCAGTGGAACTCTTTCCAAATATAACAAAGTAATATAATGCTGCATTTAATTTAGGTGACATCTGACGTAATGTTCTAGTATCATTGTTTCTATGGTAGCTTCTATAATGCAAATCCTAAGGATTAAATTCTACTCACCATTCAACGCTAAAATCGGCAAATTTTATTAAAAATGTCACAAACAACATTCATTGTTAATAAGTAAAATTTATCACACATCATTATGGAAACTTGAAGGAAGTGCTATAATCGCTGAAAAACTACATATATTCATGGTTATAAACAAGACCCATAAGGTTTATGACGATATTTAAGTTAATACTTGCTTGTTGTATGATTATAACACAAACTTATGTTAAGCCCACATCATATTAAATTTGTCTGCATATTTTAAAACAAATTTAAATAATTTGTATAAATTACCCAAATAAAAATTAAGGATGGCGCACCGATGATTATATGTGGTTATAGTAGATTTTAGGTGGCGTAACGGTGAGTGGCCAGATCTGGCGAAAATCGAAAATAAAACACCAATAAATCGAAAGGGTGGTTAGTATAGGTGGGAGTCATCGATGAATCATCGATGATTTATAGGGTCTGAAACTTCTATGCAACATTGCAGACAAATCTCTTGTGAGCCACCGATAACCGTTTGCCCAAACTGCAAAGTGGACGAAGGTATATGCCACCGTTATTTGTCCAACGTAGAAAGGTGTTATTGGGTTGCAGGTCATTCGAGATCAAGACGAAACCATGACTTCGTTCTGTGTGCTTGGCTTTTAAGATTAAATTATGTTAAGAAAATTTAGCCAAAATTTAGCGTGAATTTGGTAGGTACGAGTAAAACTGACATAGAAGCAAGGTGTTCACAAATTTTTCAAACCAAAGTGAAGCCACTGGGCATGTATCAGACTGCTACTGATATAAATTGTCCTAGGAACAACGGTAAATTTTTGTCGCAGAAAATACAGTTTCCCAAAAGATGACAGCGAATCTAATTTTTTATGTTCACATGAGATATTGAGTAAGGAATTTAAAAGCAAAGAAAACACCAAGCAAATTCACCATATCGATATTGAAAACGTTTCGGAGTCAAGCTCCATCATCAGTTCGAAAAACTAAAAATGAATAAAATCATATTATTATATCAAAATTCTAAGGCAGACATAAAACCTAAAGAAGACCTAACATTATATCGAAAAAAAACAGGACTCGATTGAAACAACTTAGTCCTAGGGTTCACGAAAAGAATATAAAAGCCTAGCGATTCACTATTTCCACATCATATGAACTAAACGCATTATTGAGACACGGTTTTCGTTTGAAGATATGTAGAGACTCCAATATTCTCAAATCCGAGCAGCCAGAAGTGGAACCGAGAATCCTGAAATCACTCTCAGGTACAGCCACGTCGCACTGTTCAGCATGGAGGCGCACGGAAGAATGAGGAGGCTTGGAGAGAGGCAAGTTAGATTGATAGCTCCTGCCACGGTTCAGAAACCCAGATGTAGAAGTAATGCGACGTCATTCCAACGTACGCAGATGCACAGCGTGCACAACTGAACTCATAGACCAGGTTTGAGCGCATCCGAGCAGGAATAACGTCCTTATACCTGAAGAAAGACCCAATATTGAATTTATTTACCAGTAAAACATGCAGATTTATACTCGGGAAATATTTCATGAACAATATCTTTAGTTCTCTAGGCATAGTTTCAGACGCACTACCAAAATAGGGCAATGTGCAATAAATAGTTTTCTTACTTTTTCTTACATGCCAGTGGAACTGCATGCATCCTGCCGTGCACCACCAGCCGTCACTTTTAGCTCACTACATTTGGGTTAGGTTTCAGAAAGCATAGTTCTGTTCCATAATCTATAGTCCTTCGACGAGCGAAATCCGCAGCTTCGCTAAATTACGTAACTTTCAGCTCTCAGCATCTGGGGTTAGGTTTCAGATAGCATAGTTCTGTTCCAAAATTTATCGTCGTACGACGCGTGGCCGTTCGACCGTGGGCTGATTCGACACACGGGGCAGATACGCACGGCTCCGGCGCGCTCCGTCCAGGTGGGGTAAAAATTTTTTCGCGTATTGGCGGACGATGCTGGTCCATACGACGTCAGGCCATTTTCCTGTGGGTTGATTGGTCTAATTCAATGGATGTGATCAGTCTGGTGACGTGCGGCTGATAATGTTACAGTCAAGAAGTGTTCTAGGCTACGTTCTTTAGGGAAGGGGATCATGATAGTCCATTCGAAGCACGGCAGTGGTGGTCTCCGACAGGCGTCCCGATTTGAATGGTAAGTCGGGCAATTCGGCATAAGAGGAAAATAGT